AATCTTGTTGAATGAAGTGACGCATTGTTATGACACGATTAGTGACTTAAACATCGATATAGTCTGAATAAATATCCGTTGTCAACTCGTCAAGAATCCTAACGAAGGAATTTCTATTATTGTAGCATGAGTCAAGAAACCGCTCACGATCAAAGTAACCAAGCGCCAAGCGATGGGCACGAAAATGTTCATATTGAAGTATCTAGTTTCACACCTCCTATTCAAAGTGAACAAGTGAACTCACTACATGTTCCCCAAAATGATCAAAATATTGGAGATCAACCTGACGCTATGCTACCTACCTTAATGGTAAACTTCTTACAACAAATGACTAATGCCCCTGTGTTTCAACCACCTCCACCACAACCTCGTTTGATCACTTTCAAAACCTTGAAAGATAATGGTGCTGAGGAGTTTCTAGGAGATCGAATTGTCGAACCCCAAATTGCTCTTGAATGGATCGAGCAGACCGCTCGTGTACTACAAAATTTGAACATACCTCTCGTTGATCATCCAAAATTTGCATCTCAATTGCTCCGCAAGGAAGCCTATGAATGGTGGAAACGCACAGACGAAAATCCAAACACACCTAAACCTTGGACTTGGGAATTCTTTGATTTGGCATTCAAGAAAGAATATATCCTAGCCCGATTCCGTGAAGAGAAGCGTGCTGAATTTATTCAATTGAAGCAAGGAGATATGTCACTGCCTGAATACCGACAAAAATTTGTTCACCTCGCTCAATTTGCACCCACACTGGTGAGCACAGCAGCTGACCGCATTGAAGAGTTTCGCAAAAGACTTCGACCTGATCTTAGGCCGCACGTATCTACTATTCAAACTATGGATTTCCTTGAGGCGTACGATCTAATCTCCAAAGCCGAAAAAGATCTAAGTGATTGCTATGAAAGTCTGAAGACTGAGAGTGTCAATCCAAATGAACGACCAAATACAAGTGGGAAGAGACCCTTGCAAGAAATCAAAAGTGCCCTACACTCGAAAAAGGGAAAGTCAATGACAAATCAAACGACGACATCCGTAAACAAAATGAGAGTATGGAAACATCCAAAGTGTAATATTTGTAAAAGACACCACCCAGGAGAATGTCGGTTTACGCAAGGATTATGTCTAGGTTGTGGCAAATCTGGACATTTCCGAAGGGAATGTCCCACTAACCCTGGACCATATTCGATTACTTCTATTCAAAATCAATCTATTCGTTCAGGAAGAAGTCAACGTTCTAAAAGCACTTCAAACCAAGAATGATGCTCCTTTAATGTCAAATTATCATCAAGAAAAAGTTCGAGAATGTATTGAAGAATGAATGTTTATAATAGTGACAACTCTTTGTAAAAGATAAAACATCTTCCAATTTGTATCCCAAAAATATTCGTATTTGCTTGAATCTACGTATGTCGAACACCTAGTATAATGAAATCTTTCATTTGACCCATCTTGAGAAAATGTTTGATATTTACATGATGCATTCTGATGTTGAAAATAAATATTTTTTTCTGACTTGCACTGGCCATGCACCTTAGAATAATATTTGTGATTAACTCATAATGTTCATGGACAATATTATTCCAACACAAATAGAACTGGGATTACATGAAGTAATATTACAAATGTAACTCTAAATCCAATCTCCCAGGATTTGTAAACTCGTCGTAACTAGCCCCACGACCTGGAAAAGCTTTAGCAAACTCTAGTTTGTCTAGAAGCTCATCAACGAAGAAAGAAGAAATGAAAAGTTTCCTCTGACTTGAAGCCATGAAGTTCTGCCTCACCGCATCATCTAGAAATTTGATTAGGTTATTAAAATAACCGTCAATGTTCAAGAGACCAATGGGTTTATTGTGCAACTCTTCAGATGCCCACGAAATTAAGGTGAACAAACCTTCCATAGTATCAATTCCTCCGGGAAGTATGATGAAAGCCTCCACCACATGATTCATCTCGAAATACTTGTAGTAATTGCTGGAAACGGTGTACTCTGCACCGTATGTAGGACCATAGACCTGTCGTGCTGCTATGTACCCTGGTATGAAGCCTCTAACTATACCACCATTGGTATAAATTGTTGAAGCAACAGCTCCTTGAAGGCCAACATTACCTCCACCGTAGGTAAGTCTAATTTTCCGCCTTACCAATTCCCTTCCTAAATCTACCGCTGTAGCCATGAACTTTGGATTTCTACCAAGAGCATGACTACCAAGTAGACCAACGAATCTTATGGTATAAGAAAGAGCTTGAGAAGTTCCTTCCATAATGTGAGAATGTGATATACTCTTGCCACAATCGTGATATATATAGGCTCTGAAGCTTGAGCTTTGAGAAAAAAGGGTAGTTATCCTCAGTCGAAATTTGTACAACAAAGTTGGATTCGATTTACCTACTGACAATGATGTACTCGCCAATACTACAGTCTGCTAACGATATGTCATAAAATAAGTTCAAATTCATGACGAAAAGTCAAGTTGACTAATGCCCTAAGACAACGACCCCTTGAGTAACTTAAAAATATTATGTTACAACGTATGAATTGAAATAATCTCCAAATTTCCAACTAATCCTATCGGGTGCAAAGGCTATTGAAGAACTCTTCAATTGAGAAAAGAATATTTTCGACCAAAATATATATTCTACTGAGTATACTCCAAAATATGACGCAAAGGAAACTTATTTACTGACATTGACTTCAAACAGGAACATGTAAAAGGATTGATGAATACCTTTGTTAATCTCTCGAAGATAGAACGAGTGTGATGACATCTACGGTTTGAAAATACGTGTTTGTAGGGATAACGACGTAATCATAATGAGTGAACATGACGCAGTCATGATTAAACGAGAATACAACAAGTTATTGATCGTTGAACCTTAGATGAATTTCGAGGACGAAATTCCTTTAAGAGGGGAAGAAATGTAACGCCCCAAAACATAGTCTAAAAGTTATTCTATTATAAAAGTATTTTTAGAAAAAATATTTTGACTCAACAAAGCATTATTTCTATGTTTGACCAAAAATGAAGGAATTTTTAGAGTCAATAATTTTTGTTAAGATTGACTTTTATGGATAGGTCTTGAAGAGACGAAACCAACGGTATATTTTATGAATAAATCTGATGTACAGAAGTTCAGTTATGACATTTTAAATATGTAATTTGTATAAAAATGAGAAAAAGTCAAAGATGTGAACTTTTGTAAAATGATGTATTGAAATAAGTATTTATATTTAATAATATTGATTGAATATGAGACTAATTTTAATTACATATCAATTAATTCAATTTTGACTCTGTCAAAGTCAACACCCAAAAATATGTT